TGGTGCACTTGTATTTCAAGTTCACATCGGCAAATTCTGTTGTGGCTGTCTAACTTTATTGCTGCCGGAGGTGTGAGTGCGCCCCGGTGCTCTGCACGCACAGCCCACCGTGCTGGTGGCCGTCAGTTTCCCAAACAAAAGAAATCCGGCAGCGCATACGGAGACTGGTTTCCCAAGTCACACGCTCTGCGCTTATCTTCCACCTTAGGAAAGGAAGCGATTTAATAGCATCTGCAGCATTTGAGCTTCACCTGCAGATTCAAGCTGTTACACTGCACACTCCCGGCGATTTGGTGGATGAGGGAGGGGGAGAGGCGTGAGATTCTTGAGCTATACCTAACAAGAACCAATGAAGGGGACACGATGTAGACAGCTTCTACCTTTGGTAACTATTAAAACTGTAATAGAAATAATTTTTTACTGGAACCTGCAGGGTTTAAACTCTGATTTTGTTTCAATGCTAATGGTGCTCTGTTTTCTAAGCAGATTGGTATGTTATTGGGACTGAAATAATGTGGGGCTTCATAAATACTGTGGAGTTTATTTCTACACAGAAAACCTGTTACTTATGTGGGCTAATTTGCATGGCTTTTCTTCTTCTTTCTTCTCCCAGAACCAATCTACGTTCCATTCCTCATTGTTGGATCAATATTTATTGCCTTCATTATCGTGGGTTCGCTGGTAGCAGTTTATTGTTGCACATGTTTAAGACCTAAACAGCCGTCACAGCCAATCCGATTTTCCCTGCGGAGCTATCAGACCGAGACTCTTCCCATGATCTTGGCCTCCACGAGCTTCAGGACCCCATCCCGGCAGTCCAGCACCGCCACCAGTTCCAGTTCCACCAGCAGCTCTGTCCGCAGGTTCTCCTTCCCCCGGGCAGAGCCAGGCTGCCTTGTGCCGTCCTCACCTCCGCCCTACACGTCTGGCTGCTTCCAGACAGCCCACACCGTCCACCTGACCCAGCCATCAGGATTTCTGGTGTCTCCGCCGTACTTTGGGTATCCTCTCCAGCCAGAGCCTGCCCTGGTTGGGAAGAACTGCTCTGATTTTACTCAGAGCTGAAGGAACTCGTGAAGAAGTAATGTAACCTTTGCAACCACAGGGGCTGCTGCTGTTGGGTGTCACACTGATGTGCTCTGTGGCTGCAGAAGTCAGAACTGTTCCTGTGGGTGAGTTGCCCTTGAAAAGTGAGGGGTCTCACTTGCATTTCCCAAACTTGGATCACACTTACAAAGGAACTGTAAAACACTCCAAACAGTTGCTCTAAAACAGGACTGCTCTGCCTAATTTGTGCAGAATGTGTTCAGAGACAAGTAAAAGAACCATGTTGGGATGAAGGTACTCAGTGTTACAAATGACATTTTACCCTAATGCAGTTAACTTAGTTAACAAACAGTGGCTGCTTTCCACTGATAATAATCAGACTAGTTCTATAAAGCAGCAATAAGCCTGAGAAGTAAGACAGGAGTAATACTTACTAATGAGGATCCTTGAAAACATCTGTTTACCACTTCCATGAGCAATGAAAGTAAGAGGAAGAATTTTTATTAGATATTAAAATGCAGAGGTTTTTTAAAAAATACACATAATCTACCTGAACTTACACTGCATATTTGTATTAGTAAATTTTAACGATGGTAGATAAAACTAGCAGTAATTAGGCTAGGAGAAGATCAGACAGTCTCACATAACCAAATTATCTATGAGGAAAGCAGAATGTATTCAGCAATATCACCAATAACTTCTCCACATAAAACTCTAAAAATAGCGGTCTACTAAAGCATTCTTCAGAAGGAAGTATTTATTGTCAGCTTTTTGCTCAGCAAGTGTAAGTTGGACAAACTGATCATGAAGTTCTGTTTGTAAAATTAGCCATGTATAAAATGTAAAGACAAGTTTGTAATTTAAAATGTATTTACACCATTGACATCACTAATTATTTAGTAGTAACACGCAAAAAAAAACCCAACCCAATAAACTGTGTGGTTGAAATGCTGTGTCATCAGTATGACTCTGTACAGGTAGTGTTTGTTGAATTTGGTTGGTGTAACTCTTTTTGTACTTTTTTTCCTGTTAAAATAGTTTATTCTGCTTTTTAAAATGATTTACAACTTTAACTGCACCTGTTGTGCAGATTTAATATAATACAAAATTCTGACCATATAGCAAACTACTAGATTCGTTTGTATTTTTTACATGCAGCTGGAGTGAAAAAGTGTTGAAAACGACGCTGATTAGTTGGGTATTTTGGATTAAACATCCTGCTCTAGGAATAAATTCTGTTTGCCCTTCTACATTCCTTCACCTAAGTAAACCAACAAACCAAATGGAAGAAGAAAAAAAAGCATCTAAACCAAATACATGCAGTAAGCAAATGGAAAATACACAAGTAAAAAATGCAGTCATTAAAGGGCTTCTCTGTATACTTGTTTTTTGCGAAAAACTGAAGTCATTTTGTGGGTCAGAATCTACAATATCAGAGGCTGAGCTTTCCTATTTTATCAGCCTCCAACTCCCTGTGTGCAGGATGTGTTGAAGTACATTATAGCTGACCTATTTAACAAGTAGTTTAGAAAAGCTTCATTGGTTCTTTCTCAAGAGTTGAATACTTTTTTCATAGCAAATATCTAGTGATCAGTAGTTATGACAAAAATTTTTCAAAATAACTATTTTAATAAGTTTTTAGCTGCACAATTAACATTATAATCCAGCAAACATTACTGCTAGAAATGCAAAAAGACAAGTTCTATACAATGACGTTTTAAGTAATAGGTTCTAGCTTGAATGCTGTAATCATTAATTACAACCCAAATTATGATACACAGATGTGTATATGTTTTGCAAGACACTAAAAATTAGATTTTAAGTATTCAGGAAATGAATCAAAAGTTAAATTCTGGCCTGTAATTTTATTGTAGAAACAATCTTCAAGAAAGAAAAATTTTGCTTGCCTTTGGTAAGATTGCACAGGACTCTCCACTGCATATTTTGAATGGCTATGGATGGGACTGTTTGTCAAGTAACTTTTTTGAAAAATCATTGAATATTTTAAGATGTAGCAGCTGTCTTGTTCAGAAGCATACTGTGAGATGTACTGATTACTCCTGTAGACAGCAGAAACAGCAAACCAACTCAACTGTATTTTTTTACAAATTATAGGTAATCTCCCATTAGAAGAAATCTTTATCTAGTAAACCAAGGCAACACAGACCCATTCTGGAAGCAGAAACTTGATCACTTTTAACTAAGAAGGGGCAATTTATGTACCTTTAAAGAGCAATTAGTCATCAGAGCCGCTGACACAGGTGGTGAGTGGCTGAAATTGAGTGTTTTCATGAAAGAAAGACTGTACACAGCAAAGCTGAGAGTTTGGCTCAGTCACTGCCCATTACCATTTGGGGCTGTACAGGCCAGGCTGCTTCAGTGTGATGGTCTCAGAGGGCTCTGCAGTCAGTTATTAATGTTTTAACACGGGGACAGATTTTTGCTACACTTGCATGTGGCCTTAAATGTTAATGACAATTCAACCTAAAGAGAGCTGTGCTGTTTGCCATGTAGCAAGAAACTCAGCCTAGCAGGGAAGACCCATCTGAGCCTCTTCCTTTCTTCCCCTGATGCTGCATAACGGGTTTGTCGTCATAGAATGGTTGAAGAACTTGACACACAGGAATAATTTCATTGAACCAGACTTAGATAAGTCTGTAAGTTTACAGAGTGCTAAGTACTTCACAGATCAGTAGCCAGACTGCAACAAATCCTGCAGATGTAGCTCTTAGGGTGGGAAAGATCAATTGTAGTGAAAATAGCTGTGCTGTGCTACCTGTAAAATAGTTGAGGTGGGGATTATGCACCATCTGCAAACAGACAAAGAAGAAAATAAAAATAAAAAAAAATCTATTCTTGTTCATGTAGTTACAGTAGCAGTGACCCACATAGCTGAAGGGACATAGCTGAAGGGAGAGGAAAGGAGGTGGCCAGAATAAAGCCCATGGACAGAAACAATGCTGCCTGTGCCAGTAGTTTCCAACCCAGATGGATTTGGTGTGCCGGCGAGAATGCTGAATTTCCTCCCTAATGGAAAAAGCCTTTTGGCATTAGATACTCCTATGATTTATAGGAACAGGAAATTTTCCTAAAACTTGCAGACAGAACAGAAATGACATTGTGATAGCACTTTAATGACTAATGAAATGGTTTGAAGGGCTGGATGTATGCTTGAACTGAAGGCAATTGCTTACTATCAGAAGTAACATTTACAGACAGTACTTGCTTTACTGCCATGTTAACAAAGTAGATTTAACTATTTCTTTTGGAATTCTGAATTTAGTTCATACTCCTTTTTTCTAGCACTACAACAATCTAAAATCAAAATGAAAGAATATTCACACTCATTAAATTGATTACTGTCATTCACACACGATGCCACAAATGCTTTGATTGCCATTAACTGGTAATGACTTAGATGAAACTCAAGCCTTCTGTGGATAATGAGCAACAGTGGCATGCCATTTGTTTTGTTTCCACAATTTGGGATTCTGAAGTGTGTATCTCCAAAATGCATCAAGACTTTCCAGTGCTAGGAAAAACATTACAAGTATTTGCAAGAATGTCTGAAGGATTCTGTTTGAAACTAGGTAAGCAGTACAGTATGAGGCTATGTAAACTCACGGATTATTTGTAACACTAATCCCACTGGAATAAAAAAACCTGACAATTTAAAAGTATTTTGTCATTACTGCTCAGGTGCAGCTTGACACAAGGATATTAAGGAACATTAAGGAGCATTAACAAGTTGAAGTTGGTTTTCAGTGCTGTTTTGCTGCCTATTGCAATGTTCTGTCTGAACTTGAACTCCTCTGAACAATGAGTCTGCTTTTGAGGGAGCCACTCATAGCACATAAAGTTTTTGACTCACAGTGACACCAAGGTTATAATTCCATGGTATCCTCTTTTCATTAGCAGAGGCAGAAAAGGAAATGCCTTTCTGTTCTTTTATTCTTTCCCTCTATGGCTTGTGTAAAAATTCAGGAGGCTATAGTGTGAACCAGGTAAGTGAAATTATTTTAGCTTGAAAATAATGTTTGCTGTAAGAAAGAAGGGAAAGGATTTGAGAGGAAGCCTGGATCATTATAAACTGGATTACAAAATGAATAATTTCAATGGCCTCATGACTGCCAGTATAAGAGAGATGTAAAATATTATCAGGTGGAATATCCTTAAACCAGCTCTGCTACTAGAGACTGGATCTTGTGAAACTAGCACTATCTAAGATGCATGTATTATCAAACCTGCTTGGACAGAATACAAAATAAATTAATTGTCTAGTGCACATATAAAAATTAGTCACCCAGCTACTACCAAAACTCAGTTAAGGTAGTAAAATATTGATTTTTTTCAGTGGCGAGGTCTGTTAGAGGAAGAAATAGCAGCTACTATCAAAGCCAAAGCATACAGTATTTACCACTGTTGTCTGAAAAGGGAGGTGACGTTTCCTTATTCCTACTCTTACCATTCTTGTACTACATACTTCTCTTTCAGAATAGGGTATCACCACCAGAGTATGTTAAGGCTTGGCTGGAAGTCACTAAATTGCAGACTCCTGTGCTCCTTAAATTTTTTAAACTTTTCTAGACTTCACATGAGAACTGAAAAGACATCTCCAAAAAGGTGTTGAAAAAAAAAACCCAACCCCAACAAACCTTAAACCAATTTAATACTTTTTCAGTATACCTTAAAAAATGCAAGAACTTGATAATATTTGTGAAATAATATTTCTGGTATGTCTCATTTTAAAGTATTCAAACCCTAGAATGATGAGATATGTTTTCCTCTGAAAGTAATCCCTAACATTTCCAACCAATAAAGTCAACAAAGCTTCTTAATTTAATGGCAAAGTTTATTCATTTTTTAACAATTAAATGACAAAACATTTAAAATTTGCAGTTCAAAACATGCACATTCACCAAATGCCAAATGACATTTAACACTGCATAGAACTGAATGTGTTACTGAAAGAACTATTTAAAAAACACAGTGCATTTAACATCCAGTTAAAACTAAACCTGAGAAACTACCATAAACACCAAGTCAAAAAATCTTCATTCATGCAGCTTCATAATTTCCACAAAGTTTCAGCAGTAATGGCTTAGTGGAGCTGTAAAACCTTACTTCATCTTGAATGCAAATTTTGCTGTTTCAGACTGACCGCTTTCTGCAGCGGTTAATACATATCAAACACTGAAAATTGTTATGAAAAATTATGTTGAAGTAGAAAAACAATATTAACGCATTTATGGCTTCTATGCTACATTAAAAAAACACCATAAAATATGACTTTAAAAAAACCCCAACAAAACAAACTTGTTCTGGTCACAGCTTTGCAATTACAAATCACACTCTACATGGAAATACTTTTATTTCAGTATCAACCCTCAAAAGTGCCCAACTTTGCACATCATTGCTCAGATGAGTAGTCCTTATACTCACAAGCAGTCTGGTTGAACCCTATAACAGTAGTGGTTTGCATAAGCAGGAACCAGGTTTGGAATGCTAAAATATTCCTTTGTTTAATAAAGATCTCTTGGTTAACAGCGAGGAAACTGGGGGAGCGAGGGCAGAGAGGGGGAAGGAGAAACTCATTTGTGGAGTTTTGTAACCTGTGAAAACAGCCAGTACCAAGGAAGCTGAACTGACAAACTCATTTGCTTACACAGCACTAGCTTCTCAATATATTATGAGCAGACTTTTAACGAAGGCATTAAAAAACAGGGATCAACAACCACCATGCATCGCCTCAGAACACTTAGAAATAGTGCCTCATGCAGACAGAATGATAAATTTATCAGAACTACAACTGCTTTTACACAATACACAAGAAAAAAAGGGAAAAACTTTTCTCCTTAAATTTAACACATATTCCAAATTACTCATCATTCAAGATGGGTTCAAATGTCATGATACACATGTTAAGACACTTAATGCTCATCTTTGTAACAAGGTGAATTTTATGGATGCATGTGGACATATAAGAATCTTCAGCTATCTCTTAGCGTTTCAAAATATTTTATTTATCATTTTATACAAATAGAATGATGACTAAGTATAAATCTGTTGAAACTGCTTTGCAAAAATATGTGTAAAATTAGGAAATGGCAAGAAAAAATTCCAGATACAAATTGTCAATAGGTTTGTTAAAATTTTTTTCCAGTTACTCTTTTGAATAATTTCTATATATATGTATGTATATATTTAAAAATAATCAAGCAAAAGTATTTATATAAGATACCCGATTTTTTAGTGGCACAGGTTCATCTTTTAGATGGAAATTTTTAATACTAACTTGCAGTGCCCATGAAAGAGATGGGAAAGTCCACGTGAACTCTCTATTTAATACACTTTTGAATTTTGGAACAGTAAGAAGAGAGGCATTATTACGAGCATTTCCGCCTCAACTGTTCTTTTTTCCTTTAAACAAACATCAGCAGAATCCCCTTATTTTAACAAAGGTATGACATACTAACAGGATGGAACTAGATTATATTACTGTGTACTTAAAGTGAAAATAAAGTGCATATTGTGTACTTGGCCTGATTTAAAAATGGGTACACATAGATAAGATAATCTTGTATTTTAAAATAGAATTGTATGAGCAATAAAGCCGACTGTTTTTGCCAGATTGGTCTTTTTTGCTATTTTTAAGAAGTGGTATCTTTCAACCACTAATTATCAGAAAAAGTACAAGATGGGAAAAATACATCAGAAGTAGTAAAAAACTGCACTTTGTTAAATACTCCTTCAAATTCTGAAAAAATGTAAGCATGAAATGCTGTGATAAGATTATCTTAAAAACCTTTAAATCAGTCTGCATTTAGGATCTTAGAGTTGTTTCAGTCATTTTCTTCCTTTTTAAGGTAGTTAATTTGGGATCTACTGTGTGTTCTTTTCTTCAAACTGTATTACAATGGTAAAACAATTTTATTTCATAAGAAGAATAAGAGATCATGTAAATATCTCACTGCATGTATTTCACAGTCTATTCTAATCCGTATTTGCATAATTAGCAATTCAACCAATTAGAACAGAAAAAAAATTGCCCATTAAGAGACTATGTATAGATTAATTTTATATGAATTAACTACACAGAAAGTTTAAAAAGGAGCAACAGTGTCATGGTTAATTTCAGAAATGTTTTGAAGGTGGTCATTGTCCCTGGGATGACAGCAAATAGGGATCCCTGTTTTAGGAAAGGGGCATGCCCCCAAATTTTTTCTTGCCTTAGGTCAAGTGATTTGGCCCTCCCATATTGATCCATCTATTTATCTATGCCTGCAAAGGCTTTTCTGAAGGCAGTTCTTGTCTGCATGACTGACTGGCAGTACTGTTTCTAGCTCCCTTTCTCCTTGTGCCTGCTGTTTAGAGATCACTCCGGGCTAGGGAGAGGAAGACACTGCATAGCAGGCACAAGAAATGCAGACTGTCTTACCACTGATACACCTTCCTGAAGATGTACTTTCATATAGTGCCTTCTGTTGGGCTTTCTCTGTGTATTTTTAAGTTTCTCTCAGAATGGAGGATAAGAAACTTGGATAGTGAGATTAATTACAAGTTAAGCATTTAGCTAGATGAAAAGCAAGGAGATAAAGTCACCTTTCATAATGACAAATGAAGGAGGGCAGAGAAAAGATGGGACTGGATGACTTGGAGAGTTATGATTTGGAGAGCAAAGAGTAAAATACTTAATTTAACAGATCACTGGGGATATTGTTGTTCTGCTTTTCCATCTGGTTGATCTCCATTGAAAGGAAAAAAGAGATAATTCCTATGCAATTCACAAAAATTTACTTAACAGCATAACCAACTGCTACTATAGAAAATTGTATTTTTAATGCAATTGTGGTGGCCTTTAAACCCAGAATTAAACATGGACTAAAGAGAGGCAAGAATTAACTAAATTTTAAAGTTCAAGTAGCCTTTCTTAGTTTGAAACCTGACGGTTGTTGGATGGTAAGTTGAGAAATACCAAGTATAACTAGTTAAAGCATGTATCACAATGTTCTCATTTAATAGTGCCCTCTTTTTTTTCCCCTCATACCAGGTGTGTATCTTTTCCTGCAGTCACTTCCTCTCCATTTTAATTAAAGGTGAGAGTATATAAGTATTGTGCATGACCAATAAGTTGTAAAGAGACTGCTGCAATGTATTTCACACCTTTATAGGAAGTGACTTTAGTGCAAATAAACCAGTACATACCACAGACTAGCGAAGGGCATGCTTTGCTCTGTATTTCAATGTATGCATTTCAAATAATTCTAGTATAAAAATGTTGAAAATTTGATTAATTTTAAAAAATAAGTTTAAACAAACTTTCTTTTGAACCTACAGTATAAGCAGATACAACTAAGCATCACAAAAATAATTAAGTTTGCTAAAGGGAAGTAAGGCAGAGCAATTCTTAAAAACTGAATAAAGTATTACGTGTACTCCATTATACAAGTTGGCAGCCATATTCAACATACACAATACTAAATGAAAATAAGGGGAAAGCTTGTATAAGGCCAAAGGTGCAAAGACTTGCAGTTTTGAAAGCAAATGCCAAAAAGGCCACTCAAATTAGACTCACTATACCTTCTCCTCAAGTGTGGAGACTCAAGCATGCAGTTCTGAGATCAGGACTGGAGATAGTTTCCTTTCAAATTGTTTCTAACAGAAAACATTTATGGAACTTCTTTGGCAAATGTTTTTAGATTAGTTTGACACAAACATCTATGAGCATCTTGACTCAAAATCTTTCTTAAAGAAGGTGAATTAACACCATTAAGATACTGGGTTTTCTTCAGCACTTGTTGAAATCAAAGGCTTGTTATCAAATATATTTAAATATATTAACACCTAAAAACCTTCACAGATGCTAGATCTGTCAATGTAAAGTACATTTAGCAATCTGACCACTGCCTTTCTAGTGTATGACCAGTATTGATCCAAATTCATTGTAAAATAAGCAAGCTGGCAAGATACAAGGTAAATTCCAATCTGTTTACAAAGGCTAAGCAAATACTCGTTAAAAATTTAGAGATGGTGTGTTACAGTATAGTTGCACAGTGCTTATGTCTACTGAATACACAAATCCAAACTTTATGGAACAAGGCCATCATAGATCTTTCAGTGTCTGATAACTGGACCATGGTCACAGCTCCCAGCAAAGATCTAGTAGCCTGTCTCACAAAAGTAACAGCTAAGGCCTAGATGTCCAGCTGTGTTCCTTCACCACTCCTCAGGCCTTTGCTTTGTGGTATCGTAAGCTCTTATGACTTCAGACTGGGAAACAATCCCATTTTCATCTTGAGAGAAGGCGTAGCCATCTGCAGATACAAAGTGAAATAGAAACAAATTAAGTTTGATAATCTTATTTTTTTTTAAAACTTTAATAAAAGCAACTTACCAAAGATGAACAGAAGGGAATAAACCTCTTTTCAACAGTAAGTAGAATACTGTGCCATTTCTTACAGAATTTTGCAGTTATAAAACAGCAGAAAGAGCTCTGCACAGTACCTTAGGTATGAAGGGACACTTAACCACAAAGAATATGGTCTAATGGGTTTAGGATACTGCACTTTTGCTATAAATAAATGCAGTGAAAGGCAGAATTTTACTGCTGTTGTTAATGTACATTAATTTCTGTCAGTGAACACTTACGAAGCAAGTTTTGTTGCAAAGAGTCAGAGCGATACAAGTTCACATGGTTCTTCTTAAAAACATTCTTCAGTAGTTGGGCTCTTTCAGTTAAGCTAGAGAGAAAGTAGACACATGAAGAATATTTACTTACTAATTACCCTATCCCTTTATGTTTGAGTCTGCTCAATGGGAATTAATTGTTAAATGAGAAATGTCCACCCTCCTTTTTCTTTCTATATTGTGCCTAATGAATTATTAAGATGATGATTAAAAGCTTGCACGAGGACAGATTATTAAGTTCTGACCCCTGGTAATGATTTTACTTGTTACAGTGCAGGCAAAATATATTTTTGAAACACTGCTGTGTGCTGACAACACAAATAAATGAATACTGTGAACCTTTGAGTGTGACTCCTTTAGAAGCACACAATGTAAAGGGAAGGCACTGTCTTCCTTAACGTAGCACAGCTTGAATAGTGCCAGGCTGAATTAGTCCTTTTTATCTTACACAGAAAGTGTTCCCAGCCTCTATTGACACAGTACCCCAAAGGGGTGGGAAATGAGTGGAGGGAAAGCCAGGTTCATGGTTATCAGCTGTGTGTACAGAAACATTATTTCCATGAAAAGTGTTCTAGAAAGGAGCCTTCCCCAGGAAACTCTAGAACGTGTTTTTCTGGAGATCATACCCAAAAAACAGACTACTATCGCTGCTAAGGTTGGCAACCTCAGCCCATCTCCTTCCTTCCCAGCACAACTGAGTTTGTTGTGTTGTTGTGTGCACACACTTGGGTACCTTTAGTGAGACTCAAGGTACTCCCTATTTCAGCCCAAGTGGAAAACAGGAGCATTAAACATTTTTTAAATTGAGACTCAGGAGTCAAATGCTGCTAACTGTAGTGAAACAAGTAGCAAAGGTATTGGGTTTCCTTTCTGTCTTTCTTGCACTAAAGTTCTCTCTAATAGGAACATACATTACTAAATAAATACCAGGCACATGAGCCATAGCTAAGAAAAATTTCAAAATCTGACAGTTTTACTAACATATTAAGTATGTGCAAGGGACTATATTTAAAAAAAATCCAAAAAAACCTCTTCAGTGTCCTCTTGATTTGATATTCACTGTAAATTACAGCCTGTGTTTCAAGAAATACCAACCTATCACTTAAACACTTCAAATGCTGAAAAATCCAGCCCACTCTCAATGTAAACTGGTCTAAAATTAGTTCAGTTAAAAAAGAGATGTATCTTATGTATAATGTGAGTACACAGTGATTTGATATTGCTACAGTTTTGCTAGATTAGCCAAGTTGTCTCTCATGCAATGATGTAGGAAGAAAAGCAGATTTCACATACCTTATGTTACCAAGTTTTGATTACCCAAATTACTTTTTAATATTATTGTCAATTAGCTCAACAGACTTAAGTTCTCAGGCTATTAACCAGACTACGTGGTGCAAGGAAGGGAACTAGACTGCTTTCCTTACTAGATCA